TCATGTACATAGCATTTCGTGAACAAGTTTTTAAATGATTCTTAATAACTTCGTCTCCGGACGAGGATCGAAACATGAGTAACTCTCGAAAGTTACCCTGAGCTGCGGCATCATTCCTCGGGAACCCGTCATCTTCATGTCCACGAAAAGAGATGTTTTGCTTTGCTAAAAATAAAATTGTCTCAATGATACTGCGTAAAATACGACGATTTTCTTTGATTTGCTGATCATTTTTCTTTTCCAGTAAATTATTGATCGCTTTTTCCGGTCGGTTATAACGCACACTGAACTCCGTAGCTTTCGTTATTGCTGTCTTATGATACTCTGTTGCTCCGTGATTTGACATATGCTTTGTTGCATCTTTCAAATGGAGTCCTTGCAATGGTTTCACTACCAATTAGCTTAGTTTATTTGGTCCACGATCATAACACGATGTAGATGATGAAAATAAAATACAGTAACGACAAAATACGCCCGAATATATATGCGAGTATGAGAGCCAATTAAACTTTTCTAACCAACTGTACAGACAAACTGGACGTGTTTTATTGTTGATTTCAATCTTTTTAAACGCTTAATGATGTGGAGGTATCCAAGGATTTGTCAATACTTCATAGAATTTATTTGAATTATTCTCATGCAATTTAACATTCAGAAATAAACCGATATCCGTCTCGCTTAGTGGTACCAACATTTCATTCATTGTACTCGAATCAATGGCCATCAATGGCATTGATGACGAATCCGGTTCAATTTCCAGATTTATTTGCTCTTTCGTTATGACAAGCGAGCTGCTTGACGATGCGTTTGATGTTTCAGCACTAGGCTGCTCAATCGATGTCAAAGGCTGTTGAGAAGAAGGTAATCTCAGACTTTTACGAGATAACATATCTTTTAAATTAAGCTGTTTGTATTTACTCATTTCTATTAGCTTCAACGTTTCAATACTATCTGAAATAATAATCTTACCACCTAAATACATGCTTTCGCAATTTACCCACTATTATTTAGTTTAAACTTTATTCATCAACTTTCGAAAAAAGAACAGAGAAAATGAATGCACTACACAACAACCAAGCCAACTCCTAACACTGACCCTATCGCTAGTGACAGACATTGTTTTATAAACATGAAGTAAAAGGAAAAGAAAGAAAATGTTTGAGAGAATGCGTAACACACAGAGTGTAGATTAGATATTTTATGGACCACCACCTCGACTAGAGAAGAAAACAACAGATAAAAAAGAAAAGAGAAATAATACACGGGTGAAAAAATTTTTATACTCGGTATACAGAAACAAATGTTTAAGCCTTATGACATCATGACTTATCGAAGAAGTACTGCTAGAAAGGTGGGTAGAGAAAAACAGAAACACTACAAAAAGTTTTTGTAGCATTTCTGTTTTTCTCTTTTTGTCAAAAACGGCTGTTTAAAGCTCATAAAGGTACCGCCATTAACATTAAATGAGAGAATCGGCTTAAAAAGAATTTTCACTATATCCGCGGTTGATTTCTCGATACTGCCGTTGTGGTGATCAACAATTTCAGAGATCTCTTTACGCATTTCGTCCATTTTCTGATACCTGATATTTTATTCTATTCGTTCGAGTGCAAGCTAACTTTCCAGGAGGGGGGGGCCTGTGCCCTCTAGGCCCCTCCCTTGGCTACGCCACTGCTTTTAATGAATAATTTAATTTAATCTTTTAATGAATAATTTTTTTACTATTTAATTTCATTACAAGTCAGTAAAAACTGGACCCTTTCTGCGCAACTTCTAAGTATTGTCATTATGTTTTGCTTTTAAGCGTTTTATTCAATTTTTTGTATATTTTATTGTGACTGAATTCTGATGTCGAATTCTCAAGATAATTCTGAATTGTTGGGTAAGTGAGTAAAAACCTTTGCCGGAATCTTGAAATTTTAATTTGTTTTCTTTTGCTTTAGAGGGTAATATTGATGTTAAAAATCTAAAAAGTTTGTCCGTCGATGAACTGAATGAAATTCTGAAATATTGGCCAAAACTGGACGAACTTCCAGAAGAAATTCAAACAAATACAATCTATCGTTTATATTTGAATCAAGAAACATGTGGTAAGTTTGATGAACCCTACCGGCACACAAGGAATAACTGTACTCAGGAAGAAATTGCCTGTTACATAGTTCTCTTTTTCGTGTTAGATGATTGGAAAGCTGATTCATATCGATGGAAAAGTGGCAAGTGGTAACCAGTGGCCGACAAATACTAATTTATTCAGAAAAAAATATTTTACATGCATAAATAGGGATAATGTAGCGGACAAAATATTTGTTAAACATGTCTATATATCGAATAAAAATACTTTTGACGTTGTCATGGTTTACGCTGGTAAAAGACTTCCGCTTATATAAAAATGTATTTATAAGAATTTTTTTTTCCAGGTAATAAGGCAGTAGCAAAAGTTAGTTCGCATGGTAATGCTAGATTCTCAACATCACATCAATTTCAACGGACAAAACCTTCCACCAAAGAATTAGTTAAAACTTCAAGTGTAAGGTTTTTTCAAATTCTTAATAGAAGCTGGCCAAGTTGCTTGAACACACAGACATGTTCCAAAAGAAATTTTTCTTGAAGCTCTCTTTTCACTAATAGCAAAACTGAACGGAACAAGTCGCTTGGATAGATCGACATACCCCAAAAGAGTGGATATAAAGGCTTTGCTTTTTTTGGCAGAAGCTAACGGCCCAAGTCAATTGACACGTCAACGCGTCCTGTTGCAAGTTACCTTTAACGTTAGTTTTATATGAGTATTTTAGGCAGCAACTGTCTATAAAACAATGGTTGGACAATAAACAACTGAATCACCGCGTGATTTAACCCAAGTAAGCCACTATCGTCAACGTGTTTTGGATAATAATCGTTTAAGTCACGACGAATTATTAAACGTACTCATATTAACACGCGAATTAAGTGATTTTATTAAAATTTTCAATGTTGCTCCTCGATTAAATTTGGTATTAATGCATGATGCTACTTATGAGCTCTTTGGCTATTTATTAGTGAAAACAGCAAGTGTAGTACCGCTTTATTATAATACGACATTTGATATTGGGGACTATTACTTATTGGTAAGATTATCTGAATAGCAATATTTTCTCAACTAATGGTCTTTTTTTTGTAGATTTTAACATATGCCAATACTTTATTCGTGGAGAAGCCGATAATACCATTAGCGGTTTTGCTCCATGAAACAAAAGAGCAAGAATGCCACGACGAACTGATCAAAACATTACACAAATATAAGCAAATAGAAACAAAATGTGTTTTAATTACTGTAAGTAAAAAGACGACTAAGAAACACTAATATCTTTATGTGCGTTTTATGGTGCAGGACGGTGAATGTGCGCTACAAAATTCATTTACTGACGTTTTTTTGGCTTTACAAATCCTGAGATGCCATAATCATTCAGAGAAAGACATGAAGAAATGGCTCAGAACCAATTTTAATATTCTTCATCGTGGGATAGCTAATCAAGCTACTGAAACATCTACATCTGCCACAACTACTAGCATAACAACACTACTTGTTTCACAATCAGTAACAACCACAACATCAGCACCGACAAACAAAACAGCCAATGACTTATACAAAGAAGCGAAGGATAAATTTGTGAAACAGCGTCTCGATGACGTGTTCAATCTCTTACGTTGTGCAACGAAAAATCAATTTAATGATATATTCATCATTAATGACTAATTATATTCCAGGAATAGACGCTACGGGACATGTCGACGTGTTCTACACCGCTTCTCACGAAACATCGTTGCTCGCCGAATGAAATTTTGAGGAGACAGGTCACAGGGACACGTCGACCAGTCCAGTAGAAGTTTTATAGTACCTCTGAAAACAGACTATGGGACTAGATGCTTGGTCATGTCGACGTATGCATCAGTCTCTCCAACTCTTAATGCACAATATTCTTTTGTTTTAGGTGGATGGTCTGGTCATCAGTTCAAATTATATGAAATGAGTGGCATCATCAACAATCCTGTTGAATCAATTAATGCTGTTTTAAAAAAATGGATTAGTTGGAAATAGTTAACAATTGATAAATTTATTCAAATGTAGTATTTGTTCATGGGGTTTTACTGTAACGAAATAAAGCGTGGGCTATGTAACACAGGTATCTATTTACTTTGCAGTTCGTATAGCAATAAATCCTTTTTCTTCCTAATTTTAGACAATTATCATTTAAAAATTGGATTAAATCATCTTCATTGTCCACAATCGTTATTGACGACACTGGTAAAAAGTTACAACCTTACAAAATTCTTGATAAATTCAAACAACATATTGAGAATGCTCCGTCAACATCTTCCAATCAAACATCATATTCAACTGCTGCCACCACTCCCACGACTACATTTCTTGGCTCGATTGCAGTCGATAACAACGAAGAAGCTTCAAATACAAATTTGCTATCACCTCAATTAACAACCGCTAACGATCGAACAACTGCTCCATCATCTTCATTTACAACAACAACAACAACAAATCTTTCAAATACACCTTCAACAACTGTTACAAGAAAATCATTAACACCGGTCGCAAAATCAGCAATGTTAGTTGACCTGGATTGTGTTTCATTTGACGGCTATAGGTGTTTATTGTTGAATCTTTGGCTGCAAAAAGTTTTTATGTGGTAAGTCAGTTTGCAACGCTAAATTTCATTAAACAACTCCATTGGACATGTCGACCTGATCCAAATCTTCCTTGCTTTTCTCAGTGTGTTGTAATGAAGTATAAACTGCTTGGGACAAGTCGACATATCCTTTCTGCCCCTTTTCGAAACACAGATTTTTACTTCATAACAGAAGCTCATGTGACAACTCGACTAGTCCACTCGATTTTTCGTAAAAAAAGGAAGAAAAAAATCGCACCCTCGAAAAGGCGCTCGGACAGGTCGACTTGTTTCAGTGCTCTTTTTTTAAAGTTATAAGCCTCGGTCGACCAGACGAATTGGTCCAGTCAACCTGACGAATTGCCCTCTCTTTTTCTTAACCCTTTGGCACCCGGCGACGCATAAATGTGTCTAGTTGTAGTTATTGCGTGACAATAATAGCCAGAATAAATTTGAACAACTGAAAGAATTTCCGGTCTTAGGTGGGATATATACAAAGATTCCATAAAAACTTCTGAAATCAGGATCTCTGGAAAACACGAATCTCAGAAAATCAAGTCTCGGAGTTCAATCTGGAAATTCTTTGTGAATACATTGATCGTGTAGAGCAAACATTTCTGAAGAGAATGAGACGTCTCCGAGCCCTTTACGACACTTTCTCACGGAGCAGCATGCAATTTACGGAAGCTCTCATAGCAACAAAACTAACCGGAAAACAAGTATTTACGCCCTTAGGGCCTTCTGTAAATTGAATGCTGCTCTATGAGAAAATGTCGTAAAGAGCTCGGAGACGTCTCATTCTTTTCAGAAATGTTTGCTCTACACGTCAATGTATTTGCAAAGAATTTTAGGTTGAACTCCGAGACTTAGCTTTCTGAGATTTGTGTTTTCCAGAGACCCTGATTTTAGAAGTTTTGATGAAACCTTTGTATACCCCACCTGAGATCGGAAAAACTTTCAGTTGTTCAAATCTTTTTTCAAATTTATTCTAGCTATTATGGTCATGCAATAATTACAACTAGACATAACATTTATAATATTTATGCGTCGCCGGGAGCCATAGGGTTAAGACTCTCGTGTCACTCATCCTATTTTGCTTTTGGTATTTCAGGTACATATGAGAAATGCTAAGAAACTATTTACATGTAGTTGTCCATATATCCTGTCAGTCTGTTCGCATGTTAGTAAATAATGTCTGTCTTACATCGCATAATTTGTAACTTGTATCTATTTTTATCTGTTGTAGGTCTTAGCTGTCAAAGTCTTCTTCAACATGCCGATCAAAGAGAACGAAAACAAAGTAAATGCAGGTGTGGATCGAAAAAGAGCAATGAAAGAATATAAAGTAAGTTCCTTTTTTGCTCTCTTTCTTTAACCTTTTTCTTCTTACATATTTTTTTTCCAGAAAGGAATACCGGGTGGAAAAGTAGCACGAAAAGTCGATAAAGCTTCAAACAAAAAATATGAACAGCGATTATTATCACAGTCTCCTGCCTCATCATCTCCAATAGCAGCAATTCTCACAACGTCTTCAACAATTACATAAAGACCCGTCTTAATTCCAGTTACGAATCTCCCGTTGACATCAATTATGCCGACGCCACAACCATTATCTAAAATAACCCTTCTACCACATCATAATTCTCCATCTTTATCGATTTGTCACAGGAAATAAGAATTCAGCATTACCGCGGACCGCAGCGACTCCTCCAACAGTTGTCGTTTTTGAAACGCAACAGACTTGTCTGTTTATTTAGAATTTTCTTTTTTTAAGCCGACTGAGTGAAACTTAGTTCAACGACAGAAAGTCGCCTTATTGCTTCTCACTTGGAAGTGCATGTTCTCCTTTATTTTTTTCCCTACACTTTTCTCGTTCGAGTCAGACACTCGTTCTCAGCTGTCTCTGATCGCACGGATTTTCGGAAAAGATAATTCGAAAGTATATCGGCTGCAGGTGACACATCCGAAGCTAGTTTTCCGATATTTCTTTTAGTTATCCTATAATTAGACTCACAAAATTAATATATTTTTCAGAGGACTCTATCGTTTTCCCTATGAGATAATTAATGTCACGTAGTTAACGTCACGTGATTTACTTCATAGTGAATATATACGATAGCGCTTTATACGATAAAGGGTATAGCAGAATGTATGATAGGATAATGAATTAGCTGATATGGTAAGATGAATATATAGCAGATTTCTGAGAAACGATCTTCGAAGAAACTGACCACTACAAATACTGACTGTTTCAGATTGTGCCACGACAAAACTTTCAACTTATTTTTTTTCAAGCGAAGAGTGCAGCAGAATCGAAATCGATAAACTTTGTTTCACTCAGTCGGCTTCCAATCTTCGCAGTGCGCAGTTGGCATCTAGTCGTTCATTCTTTTTTCTCAGGACGAAATTTGTGGTTAAATAACAGTGTGCTTTCTTGTTCTCAAAATTTGTGATTAGTTAGTGATTTCTTTTTATTTCGATTAATTAGTAATGTAGTAATTTTCCTTTTTTGTTTCTGTACATCTGAATTGCTGGTAAGGTGCAGCTAATTCAAAATTGCAGTAAAAACATTTTTCTCGTTTTTCAATACATGGTTAGATAGAGCTTGACAAGGTGATTAAGAATATGTGGGTTTAAAGTTTTTGGAATGACTTTTACAGGGAAGATTTTCCGTTTTATCCGATGGTGAATTTTTATGTGAAAGATGTGAAATTTTCGAAAATCTCGAAATTTATCCGTTTTATCATTTCTTTTAAATCCCAAACCTATGTTTTTCGAATTCGCCATGAAAAACTACATTTAGAATGTAGATGTAGCATGTTTATGGAAAACTTTAGCTAAACGAATAAGCCAATGAAATCGAAAACAAGTGAAGCTTTCTCTGTCTTACTCACTGTTATTTTAGTATGTGCCATGATCGCTCGAGCTGACACATCAGTAGCAAAATCTATAGATACTTCTTTTTCAATTTTAGATTTGTCTGTATGATGCATCCAGTTATATTTGTTCATCGACAAGTTCCAGACAGTGGTGTGTTACGTTTTTGCCATAAACTGTGGATTTATGTAGTAAAGGTATTTTTCTGTTTTAGACGCTTTATGCAAGGTACTCAAAACTTATTTATACAACAAAAATATACATTATCCATTTGGTTTTCGAGATAAAAAATTCCAACGACGTTTAGTTCAATTTGTGACAGCTGGCAAATAAATGATCTTACTCCTCGTTTCGTCACTTATGATTTTCTGGATTTCTAAGGTTTAACTATTAAAGGGGATGAAAGAAATTTCGATAAAACACACTCACATCATCGATATCAATTAATCCGGGACACCAATCACCAGATTAAATTTATATGTACAGTTACAGCAAGTGAGAATAAAAGTCACTGTGAACCAAAGAAAGTTCACCGTTACCTGATGACGAAAGTTATGGTGACGAAAGTGCTGTGAAACTCATTATCACTCTCGGATCGGAGACGTTCACTAGAAGTTTCTCAAAAGCATGAGCTGGGTCAACCCCCATACAACCTGCTCTCGCCGCCACTCGGTGCAGACCCGCCAAGGAATTTCCAGTTTATAGAAAATCAAAAAAGAATTTCTACTTTCTTGAAAATTATTTTGACAATAATTTAGTTTCCTTGATTTTGACAAGATGTATTACTTTTATGACATTTTGTTGAGCAAAAAACACCATTTTTCTTACATGCTCATTGTTTATTTTTACATCCTCCTTTGCATGAACACGTAACGCCATTTGTAGCACCTCGAACATACAATTTTGAAGCTGTTATCACCGAAATTTTTTTCATACCTTCAGTTTTTAAATCAACCAGCTCTTGTAGAACAGCAGATAAATTAATTAATTGTTCAATTGGATACCAACGTTCAAGAATTCCAAAACAACATGCAATTCTTACATGACTACCTAGGGTATTCAAATAACTCGTGAACAATTTTGCAAATAATTCTGGTATTGTCTCAAAAAGAAGACAGAACCAGGTTTAACTGCTATCAGAGGAAAAGGTGACGGATTGAGTTGTAGTTGTTACTGCGGATGGCATAGGCAAAGACGTTTGATTCAATAAAGAAGATAAGTGTTGTCTAAAATCACTCCAGTTATTTTTAAAATGAAAATAATTTTGATCATGTCATTCTTGCAAACTTGTTGCCAAATAATCATATGCAAGGGAAACATACATTCTTTCATTTCAGTTTCTTAAATACTTCTTCAATCGTTGTAAACCAACTTAAAAGATCATTAGACCGCTGTCCATCCAACACGGATATTTCGGTCATTAATGTTTCTTCCACTTCTTTGAAACTATCAATGTTATCATTTGTATTGTTAGCTGTTGATGTTGAAGATTCGAAATTAAAATCAGTAGACGTAGATGTATATGCCATTGTTATTGTAGACGGAGACGAAAAAGAAATCGTAGAATTATTACTTGTCGAAGAAGAAAGTGAATTAATTAACAAAAGAGTCGAGTTATTTTTTGATTTAGATGAACGAGAATGCAGGGAAAAATCAGTAAAAACATTTCTTGATTTTAAATTTGTATTCGATCGAAAAGATCGATTCATTGATCATGGTGTTATTATCAAATCAATGGGATAGATGTTATTCGTCGACAACTTTTCAAAATGGTTATGCCTATAACTGGATACTTTTAACCTGGCTATAAAAACCGTTAGCTTACCGTACTTGTTTAATTAAAATAATTTGAAATGGAAGTAAATAACGTCAAATATAGATTTCGAAAGTATTTTTATTCAATTTCTCATACCTTTTAACCTATTTCAAAGTGTTTGAATGAAATATGAGTGAAAAATACAAAAGTTAATCGAAAATGACTTGCCCTTTTTTCACATGGTTTTAGTAAAAGCGACTTTTCTCAGCAATAAAACAAAATTTTAAAAAACAAAAGTTATACTTTTGTTCTGTGGATCATGGCGGATCGAATGTTATATGAAACTTAATTCCATTTCTTAACACAAAAAACTAGATGGTTTCACAAAATTGATGGTTCACGCTGAAGCGTCGAAGGTTGCAGCATTTTTGGTGGACAGCCATGTGCGTTCGAAACTTTGTTAAATACCATTTTAAATTCAGTTTTTAACGCTGAATCCGAAAAAACTAGTTTGAACCTTCCAAGTAAAAGTGCAAGTCGAAAAATCGAAGTTTTTTAATATAGTCGTTATTTTTAGTTTTTCGGCCGTTCGAGTTTTTTCGATTTTTCGACATGAAAAAGCAGTTTCAAAATCAGTTTCACTGGAGGGTCCTAGGCTGAGAAAGCCTTAAATCCAGACTGGGATGCGACCGAACCGACCAGAACCCGAAGGAACACTTTTTTACTTTGTTTTGTAGTGTGTGCTTTTTTGTCTCACCCTACACCTGCTAAAAAATACCTGGTATTGGAGTATTTTAACAATTTTAACTTTTAACTAACTCCTGTACCTTAACCTAGTATAAAAGTAGGAAATAGATCTTCTCTAATTAGTGTAGTTGTAGTTTGCGAAGTTGGTGCAATACGAAATAAGTTTACGGTGAGCACTCTTCTCCTTGAACATATAAAAGATGAACATTTGATGAAAATATAAAATTTGTTCGTTTCTGATTTTATTCTTTAAGCGAAAAAACAGAAAAATGTGTGCTCTTGTAATGATGTACATTAAAAAACGAATACATTATAGCTGTATCAAATAAGGTATATCTACTTTCTTCTATCCATCTCGCACATGCTGCGCATTTCTTCCGTTTTATATGCCTTTAAATGCACTAACGTGCCTCTATATACTCTAACTTGCTATTATATGCTTGGTCTGCATTTCTTTTCCGAGATATAAACAAGCACGAGAATAGAGAATTTTTCGTTCCGTTTTTTCGTCACAATAGAAAGGGAAGAAGCGCATAGCATGCGCAAGACGGATAGATGCAATACATATTTGATACAGCTCTATTGGAAGTGTATATATGTCAATGTATGTATTTATCCACGATACAATTAAAGGAATCGAAATAAAACAAAATAAAATAAATTAGAATTTCACTGTGGTAGAACGAGTGACCGAACGGCTGAACGACCGGTATACATTTTGAAATGCTGCCTTATACATCCAGTTTTATAGCTAAATGGAACATAAGAAGTCCGTTTAGTTAATAACCCCGAGAACGTCTTTTTTCTTTATTTCCCCCTGGCAAGAAATAGTTTGACTCGGTATTTGTAACATATCAGTACTATAAATTTACATTTTTAGAAAAGTAATTGTATATTCGGATAGCGTGCGGAATTCTATACAACCCTATATATGGATCAAAGATTCGGTCTTCACTCGGACGTTTGTAGATTGATCCGATCAAATCGTTGTTCAAGGAAAATCGCTCATTTTTGATGATTGATATAGAATCATTTTTCCAGAGAAATTCTATTTCGAAATCGCGCAGATAATCTATCCTCCATCGAGCAGAGAATGAAAATTGTCAACATGATTAAGATCGATGAAAATTATAACAAGAAGAAACAGTATTAATTATCGTTACAAATATTTTCTTTTATTTATAAAAATCTATTTACAAGCAAAAGTCTAGTGAATTGTGTCTGTAATTGAACGAACTATTCCAGTCACCAAAAGAAGATTTATTTATTTGGTCGAATATAACAGTATAGTGTCAGCTATAATCTTGAATCCGATCATGAACTTATTTGCAATTGGTTTTCATTGGTATTTAGTCAAAAATTCGTACTATGTACAAGATTGTTCAATAAATAATATGAAAAACAAGCTCTTCCTCTTGACTTCCTCTATTCTTCGTCATCATCAACATCACCCCTGTCACCCTCACCGCCATCGCCACCATCAGCCTCGCTTTCACCATCACCCTTACCCTCACCCATCCCACCCAAACGTTTATACACTTCAATCTCTTCCACCATGAAGTTCTTTGTTCCGGTAAAAAGAATTTCACCCATACCAGTAGTATCAATATAGGTTGAGGGAAATGAACAATTCGAGTCTTGATTTTCGTTCGCATTAGTATATATTTGAATGTCAATGAAATGTCTTTTGTCTTTCACAACTCCGCCAAAACCGGGGCCACGTGCCTTTGAATGAACAACAGAATAATTTTCATTTGAATTTCTAAAAAATTTAGTCGGTTGTATGCCATGTGGGTTTGTCAGAGTGAACAGAAATGCGGCCGGATCCATTTTATAGTAATTGTCACAATCCCAAGATATTTCTGCATAACCTCCAAATAAATAGTTATCATTTTTGCCCTGTATAATAGTCATTGTGGGTCCCTTGCTATCGCAACAGCGATGAAAGTCTTGTGCACGAAAACCATCTAGTGTTGCTTTGTAGATCAGTTCCCATTTTTGTTTGGCATTACCATAAAAGTCATTCAATTTCATCTGATAGTCAGCACACAGAAGCGTACCTCCACGCATATAATTATTTGCTTCAGAGTGTAAGAGAACCAATGTATAATCAACCAATAACGGTTTTATGTCACAATAGACTAAGCTGCTATGTGTCTGATTAACACTATCGTCTAATGCATACAGTTTTCGTTTTAATATCTGCAACTGTTCGAATGTAACATCACCTTCTTTAACAAGAGCTGCAGTTTCGTTCTTTAATGTATCAACTACTTCTGAGTGACTAATTGTCCGTTGCGAAAAGATCTTCTCATTATCTTGTAGCAGAAGATCGAACTTTTGCTTTTTTAATTCATATAAGTCATTAATATTTTGTACAGCTTCATCACGCCATTGCATTAATTTGTCAAATGCCTTTTGTTTATACTCTTTTACACAAAAAGCGCTAATTTTCTGACCCAATTCATTAAAACTATCGACTAAAGGATTCAGCTCTTGCAAGAGCTGATCTGCATGTTCATCGAAGTGACGTCGACAGACATTTTTGTTGCAGTGACGACATAGTGTAGCCGAGATACGGTGGCAGCTTTCAATTTCACATGATTTCAATGCGACATCACTCGCTATAGAAGAAGTAGTAGCCATTCTGGAAAAAAGTGAGTTTTATTTCACAACAAAATGTACTTTTTCAAATTCTCAGTTATTTTTTCATTCTCAAAATGAACATTAGCAGTTTTTGGAAACAGGATCAGTTCTGTCGTTCACAGAAAGAAAAAAGTTTTCCTGGATCAATTCTGCACAATAAACATAAAAGTTAGTTTATTCCGATATCAATTCTGTCGAAAATTTATTTTTTTCTAAATCTGGGATCATTTCTACTATTTTTATCGAAATTTTGGTATACGGAATCCATTCTGCAATTTTTACGCGATCCTTTTAGCTTTTTTACGATAAAGAAAGGAGAATGCGTGAAAGTGGATGATGTGGTACTCTACACAGAGAAAGAAAGATAGAAAAATTGCGGCTACTGTAATCAAAAGAACAGAAACGAAGAGGTTTGATTGCACTACAAAAACAGTACGTCAACTACTGGCTGCTATGCCAGAGAAGTACTTGAAAAGCTGAAGCAAATTCACACTATGTTATGAAAATATCTTTTGTGTGAAACTACTTTTCGAACTCACCCTCACATTGTCCTCAACACCTATCACACACAGTCCGAAATGTAGTTTCAATGCATTGATTTGTAAAATTTAATATTAGCACGATGAGAACTTGTTAGCGTAGGTCGATCTGCGTTCTTAAGATGGAATTCGAAAGAAATGAAGACTGTCGAAATTCTAATCTTAATCCTGAACATTCTACTCTCCGTTTCAAAATGGTTGGCACTCGGTTGCTTTTTGAATAACTCCTCGCGGGAGATAGATAATGAAGTGCGGTTTTCTGCATTAGAAAGAGGACACTTTAAGACATCTTTTCATA